GAGACCTAACAGCCCTTATAATATATCATATATATTTTATATATGAAGAGGAAAAATAGAAAAAAAGGAGAAAAGATGAAAGAAAGAGGAGATAAAAGGGAGATAATGATTAAACATTTGCAGTCTGGTTGATCACCTGCAAAGAGATGTAAAAAGAACAGCACAACCAACAGACATGGTACAAGACATACAATAAAGTAACACCTAAATACTATTGCTGAAGTAGTATTATTTAATCTGACATGTTACTCTGTGTTACCTGAAGATAAGAATATGGGCTTTCTGTATGGAAGTGAATCTCTAAGTACCTGGAACCAAGCACCTGTAGTTGTTTCTAAGAGTGCTCTTGTGCATGTAAAGTTTATCCAAAGAAAAAATGCTCAATAGTGGTTGTGGAGTGCTGAAGAGGTGCCCTCCCAGAGCGTATGTATTTTTTAAGCAGGGTTATTATACAGGGTTACTGCATAGGGTATTATATAGTAATTGCACATTATACATTGCACAAGTTATTGCCGTTGTAGGTGTCGCATTGCAGGCACGTGCAGAGGGGGGGGGCTAAGGGGGCTTGAGCACCTGCCCCTTTTGCTCCATGATCCCAATGTGCCCTTTTTTTTTTTATTTTTTTTTTTTTTTTTTTTATTTGACACATGTACTGAAATTATTATTATTATCTTTTTTTTGGCAAGAAAAACAATACAATAAGCCCTCAGGTCACATTGTTATCTTTGACCTTTTGCCGATGACGACGCACTTGCCTCTCGCACAGTCAGATAAGGCAGCTAACTGCGGAGCTAAAGGTAGCGGATATTCCACATTACACTGTGGCCGCTGCTCATTTGGCCCTAAGCAAGATCAACCATGATCGGACGGATGGCTATGTCTTCAGTCTGCACCGCCTCTCCAATGTCAACCTGAATAGACATGTAAGTGAAACCAAATGAGCCCCATGGATGATGCAGTATTGTTTGACCTAAAACACTGTTTACTCTGTGCTTTTAGTCTTTTACATTGAAAATTATGTTTTTTAATTCACAAAAAAACTGTTCTGTAATGATTACAGAACAGTTTTTTTGTGAATTAAAAAACATAATTTTTGGTGAAAATACTGGAGTAGGTTTCCTACTTGTCAGACAATGGAAAACTTTGAACGTTGTATAATTTCTCTACTTTAGCAAAGAGTAGCGGTTTAAACGGAGGACAGTATAGGACGCGCGTGCCTTTCTCTGAAGAACTACTGAGCGGGAGGAGACAGCCAGGTGAGGAAAAGCTGTTCTTATCTATCGATTCAGTATTTTTATCATACAGACATTAGGCTGTTGTTCTTGTGCTATGAGCTAGCTGCTAGCTAATGACTTTGCTAGCAAAGCAAGATAACTAAAAAACTTCCCTGTGTCGTGAATGATAGTAGGACATTCTTCAGTATTACTTATGCAATAGGGGCACATCGCCCGTCAAAAACCTATCATCTCCATAATGGATATATGTCTGATTTTCTAATTTCCTTTGCTGCATGATGTACATTGCATTTATTCTAGCATTAGGTAAATGTATCTTGAAGGAGAACTCATCCAGAACTACCATGATAGATATATGATAGATATAATGTATAAAGCTGGTGAAAACAAAACTGCGCAGCTTATGCAAGGAGGATCGGTTGTCAGACCTTCTTTTGTTGGCAATCGAGAAGGATGTGCCAATCATTCACAGTGAGGTCATTAACATTTTTAAAGACATGGCTAACAGAAAACTGCTGCTGTGAACAAAAGAGAACAAAAATAGCAAAAATGCTTAAAAGTTGGAAATTTGTTTTTAAACAGTAAAATCACCATGACGGAAAATACGTTTTTATAATCTTGGATTTAGTTTGGGGGAAAAAGAAAGGCAAGAGACTGAAATAAATAAGACATTGACCTTCACTCAACACAGAAAAGATGAGACAATGAGGAAAAAAAGAAAAGAGAAACTGACAAGAAAAAACGAAGAGGAAAGATTGAAGAAAATGTATATAGGTACTTACAAAATATACTAAGACACAAACAGAGTAGGCTTTTCTCATGGTGACATGCATTAATAAAATGTTTGCTTTTGTTCTTTTTTTTTCTGCAGTTCCACGTTAAAGTTTGATGCAGCAGCTCTGCTTTTCTCAATGGACCGTCTCCATCTCCACTGTCAGTGTCGCTACCCGATCCGTACCGGTAGCACGATCCGTACCATCAGCTCATTTGCGCCTGCGCGAACAGAATAACTTCTGGGTCGCCAAAAAATAATGTAATTACGGTACTGAAAAACTTTATTTAAATCCTTATATAATTAAAGAATACTAAACTACATCGTAAAGACAATATTGAAGACTTTTCTGGAAGAAATGGATGCTTTTAAATTCAATCCATTGTATTGCTTGACGTCATTTTTTCTGGAATAAAAATCCAAATTTTCGGGAAATGTTCCCTTATCAATGAAAAACTGCAGGTCACGAAAGGTAGCAGATTAATCCATTGTGGGATCAGTACTGCTGGAGTGCATAGTTAAGTACAGAGAAAATCAAATATTTAAACAAATTTAAATATATACGCTGTGTGACGTATATTTGCGCATGCTCAGAGCAGTCAAAGTAACTCACAAGGCGATTGAACTTTTTTATGTATTTCTGTTTTTTTATTTTTAGAAAATGCAATATTGACGAAAATACAAAAATATACAAAAAGAAACCCATGCCTCTAAAAAATACAAAAGAATAAAAAAGTAAGAAAACGGAAATATTTCCACCGGAAGTTATTCTGTTTGCGCACGCGCAAATGAGCTGATGGTACGGATCGTGCTTCCGGTACGGATCGGGTAATGACAGTCAGTACAGCAAACCAGGCAGACATTCTTTTTATAGATTACAGTACACTAAAAGGTTGCATTGTGCCCTTGTATGCATTTTTAACAGTTTAATTCTGTAAAGACAAAATATGTCTGGTGGTCCAGCTCTGATTTACATCTTTGGCTAAATTGCAGGTTTTAATATTGTAATACTTTCCTATAAGAAAATAGACCTGCAGAAAGAAATTACTAATAAAATATTTTACATATGCATAGTTCTATGTTCTATGTAGAGATTTCCCTTAGCTTTGATTGTATGTCTCACAATTTTGTAATTTATCATTGTTCATTAAACTCTGAAAGCTATGTGACTTTGTTAATATTCTGTCCTAAAATGCGATAAGATGTGCCCTTTATTTTTTGAGCACCTGCCCCTTTAGTGTAGGGTGACCAAACGTCCGTATTTCCCAGGACATGTTCGTATTTCACGTCCTGTCCTGGGCGTCCCGGGTTTTTTTTAGAAAGTGAGGAAATGTCCTGTTTTTTTAAATTACCTTCATTGGACCATTAAATTTACAGACCCTAGGGCACTGCGCACGACGCTGCGTGTGACGTAATCCCTGAGCCGCGCCAGTGCGGGCAGCCCTGTTCTTAATCAGAATATAGATAGCGTGGCTGTCAGTACGCCAACAACATGCAAAGGCACAAATGTATGTTTACCAATGATTTACAAAAGAGTTTCCCCCCTTTCAGACCGGATCGAGACAAATGGGAGGCCTTGTGCAGAGTGTGCAAAGCAGGCACATATGTCTCGGTGTCCAATGGAGGTGCAAGGGATCTAAAAAGCCACCTGGACTCCGAAAGTCAAGATATTCTATTGATATGTTTGTTCGTTTTGGTACATTTTGAGTTATTTTTGCTGCAAAAGAGGTATTTTCTTGTTAACTAGCTAATTTGTTAATTTATTTTTTCCAATGGCCTACAGAACAGACATTATGTCGTTCATTGCTGAGGCTGAGTATCATCATATTGGGAGTTGAGAGTTATTGTTAACGTTTATTGTTAACTGAGGGATGTTTAGATGAGACATTATTTCTTTCATTGTGCTATTCATTCATTACAGGAATGGTTAAGCATTTTTAATAAATACATTTTGAATAAAATTATCATTTGTTATTGGAGTTATTGCTGTTGACTTTTACTGAAAAGCATTTTTAATAAATCAACTGTTAATATCATGTTATTGTAGGATTACCTACGCCTATGCATGGGAACAGAGATCCCCCGCCGCCGCCCCCCGCTCCAAGGTGTCCTGGTTTTTCAAAATGAAAATATGGTCACCCTACTTTAGTGGTCTCTGCACGGCCCTGTCGCATTGTATAGTCTGGAGGCAGCGGGGATGAATGACCTGCATTAACGCTCCTTTCTGTGTTTTAACTTTGCTTCTGCGATTGTGTTATCCTTTGTACATATATATATATATATATATATATATATATATATATATATATATATATATATATATATATATATATATATATATATATATATATATATATATATATATATGCATGACAGCTGAAGTCTTTTAGTTTAGCAGGGTTATTATACAGGGTTATTGCACAGTATTATAAGTAGTAATTGCACATAATCTGGTGGCAGCAGGGGTGGATGACCTGCAGCAGCGCTCCTTTTTACAAACAGGGTGCATGCAGTAATATTTGCATCATGTATACACTTGACGCAATACAAACGCGACAGTTGGAGACTGACAAGCTGCAAACAGCAGGTTATATCCCCGCCTAATGAGCCTCCTTCAGCGGTTACAGTTTAGAGGAAACATCCGAGTAGCAGGCTCTGTCTGCAGCAGATATGGTATCATCTCTCTTACTGGAAGTCACTGTGGCACAATGACTCAACATTACTCCGCCTACGAACGTTTCTTTGGAAGTAACCAAACCAAGCCCTCCTCGGATACTTGAAGTTTCACACGTGTCACTAATAAAATCCACCCTGCTTTTAATATTATGATTAAATATTTGTAAAGGAGCCGTTAAATGGGGAGGGAATACTGTTTCTTTTAAGCACAAAAACTAAACAGAAAATAGGGTTCAGAGCAGATAGAAACTGCTCTAACGTCTCAGCTATGCGGTGAAAAAAAAAAATCTCTTCTTGATTCGTCACGTTGGCCAACAGGGCTGGATGTTTGTTTTGGCAAAGCGTTCATGAGAGGACTTGCTTTGAGTGTGAAGGCAGGAAATAAAGCACGCAACCCTGCTTAATGGCACATTGTGCGCAACAGGGAAGTGAACCTTGGCTGTCTTTCTGCGCTCGGCGCTGAATTTTATCCGCCCTGCTCTCGAAGCTGACTTTCTCTTCGCCAGAAATAAGGAAAAAAAACAAAAACAAACGACTTTTCTTCTTTTTGACTCCAAAGTAGACGTCAGGACTATGGCCTGCCAGTCGGAGAACTTCTAAGCAAAAGGAAAAAGAAAAGGCGACGACCTTAATAACTGTCCGTGTTTTGAAACCTAAACTTCACTCAAGGTAAGCTCAAATATAGAGAGCATATACTGTACTTGTGGCGTTTTTATTTTTAAACAAGGGCCCCTTTTTGCTTTCGGAGGCCTGCGTATGTTTGCGCGCAAGACGTGATGAAGGATGAAGGTTGTTTCTGCCATGTTTTTGATACAAAACAACTTCATGCAAAACAGCCAAACACAGTGTCCGTCTTTAAAAATGCGTTTTATCCTCTCATTAAATAAAAGAAAACAAAACAAAACCCTCACTTCTTTTTTATTCTTTACAAATAAAAGTCTTCTTTGCTAACTCAATTTACACCAACCTATGCCTTGGTCCCAGTGGTTTTATATTTGCTTTCACCTTAAGCTTAGTGATGTTTGTAAAACATTAAAAACAACACTAAACAGATTTAAAATGAATAATCTTAATATCCTGTCATTGAACTGTAATCCTTGTTGATCAAGGCCCAAGATCCGAGCACAACAGCTCTGAATATGTGGGATTATGAAACACAGACAGTCTTATGCTTCTGTCAAAAGTAAAAATTTGTATTTGGATAAAAAGCTTTGAAGCTATATAAACATGCAGGGACTAGTTCTTCAGAAGGAAGGATGGAGGCTATGCGGATAACATCATCAGCTCAGCTTCAGCCACGGAAATGCCTCTTTGAGTCCCTAAAGGATCAACTGGACTCTCCCCACTACTGTTCTGCTTGTCCATTTTCAGCAAAGAGGAAGAAGGAAGTCTCTGTTTCTCTTTCGAATCTAATTGAATCACTGAGTTTGGATTAGTTCTTGAGTACTGCTGCCTCTGCAGATGTATGTATTATAAATAAGGCTTTAAAATGATGGTTTAAAAAGTACAATAAGCACGTTGAATGACATCACTGGTGTTTTGGTTTGTTGTGAGTCAGAATTAGTATATTTTGATCGCTATACTTTTTCGTGATCTCTTTCTTCCCATTTTGCAGCTCTAGATGCAGTAGTTGGAATCAGGATTCTTCAATTATGATCTTTGTGAAAATATAGCAGCACAACTATCTTATTAAGAAAAATAAAAGAAAATGTTTAAAATACATACATGATCATTTGAATTTAGAACATAGTAATGTGGTATTTTGGTGTTTTGTTTGTATTATAGATTAGATAGAGTCTAATTATCAGTTATTAATTGATTAATAAGTCAGAAAATCTGCCCTGGGCTGCTTTAAAGACATACTGGTTATATCTATAATGATTTATATACATATAATAACCTATATAATAGGTGATACTCATTTGGCTTCCATACAACAGCTCTATTTCTCTTTGTTGGAGGTGACGTATAGAGGTATGCAAAGTATCTGCAGCCAACTCTATGCTCCATACATTCAGAGCTAGTGGTCATTTATTGCCTCACCAATGTTGCTGGCTGCATATAGTGCATTGCTCAAGGACGCAGGTGTGCTGTCAGTGCTGATTGCAGGAATCACAGCTGTAGATCTGAGAAAGTTGAAACAAATATGCGCTGTTGAAACTTTTGTTTAACCTTTGGGGAAATGTATATGCTCAACTGGCTGCTTCCTCAGATTAGAGGTATTACTGCCACTGTCCTTGTTCTTTGCATCACAAATATTGCAGTGAGGATAAGCTGCATTGCATTTTTGAAAAGTGGAGCCATACTCTCTACCACTCTGTTTAAGCAATGCTTGCTTTGTTTTTGGAAGCAGCCAACACATTTGTGTTGAGAATGGGAGACTCCCCCCACACTTCCAGTCCCTCTGTGTTCCAGTGATGCGTTTAGGAACCAAAACTTGCTATTGTGTAGTTTTACCTGAATAGATACTCAGAATTTGGTTGTTACCTATAAAAACACTGAACTTGGTACTAAAAACAGTTAGAACTTTTCAAATTTAACCATTTAAAACCTAGATTTACTTTAGTGACATAGGGGGTTTTAGAGTTCACCTTAAACGTCATATTTTTTATACTTCTCTTTCTGCAGATTCAAAACATTATTTTCTTCAAAAGTATTTTCAGTAAGTGATTTGTTTTCTTATCTCAAATCTACTTTTAAGTCATCACATAATAAGCAGACAAGGATGTAGGTGAAATGGAACATTTTTACTCCATGAGTTAAAATCTTCTGATCCCGGAAGGGCTGTATGATATGACTGAAAATGTATCATCATAAAAGCCTTTCATATCAGTTGATATTAATAACTGCTTTTTGTTTTGTTTTCACCATTTAAAATTAGAACAAGGGATGAAAGGCCAAAATTGAATTGCTACACTAACCCTATTTCAACATAGTCTTTAACAATTAAAAATAGATCAGCCCTACCACCGTTACCCCTCATGGCTAAGAGGCGAGCCCTCTGGGCCTGTGAGAGGTTAAATTAATTGATGTGCCTACATCCCCCAGAATGCTGTATGGTTCTGAGTCCAAATTCAGGGAAATTATAGAGAGTTTGGTGGACATATTTTCTTCAGTTATTGAGATTTCAGGTGTTTATTTCCTAGCCTTCGCTCCAGGCCATTCTGTTTAAGAGACACTGTATCTTGACTCATAAACAGCGATTTGAACCACAGATATTTTAAATCAAAGCAGCTACTAGCATTTTGCACAACCAGCGGGTGCAACCTAGACAGTTTGTGACAGGGCAACACAGAGACATACAACTATGCACATACACACTCAAGCCTTATGGCAATTTAAAGAAGCCAATTAACCGAACAGCCATGTTATTGGAGTAGTCAGAGATAACCCACGCATGCACAGGGAGAACATGCAAACTCTGTGCAGAAAGACCCCTGGCCGGGAATCAAACGCACAACTTTCTTGCTGCAAGGCAGCATTGCTACCCACTGTGCCAAGGTGCAGCCGAAACCAAAGCTGAAGCCACTGTGAAACCCAACATGTGGTACCGCTTTAGAATCCGGTGATCCCAAAGAAAGCAATCATCAACTTAATTGTAAGCCAACCAAACACCATTACCTAATAATCTATCATCAATTAGATTAAATCATTTTCCCTTCTTACCTTGTTTTAATCTTCTGGTTTTCTAAAACACATTCTATCGTGGCATATATAGACTAATTTTCTCCATAACACTCCACGGAAAAATAATATCCATTTGTATTTCCCATAAAATATGTTCAAGTGTTGTACTAATCAACCAAAGTTTCTTTTTTCCATGCAAAAATAAAAAATATAAGGATAAAAACACATATTCCATGTGTGTAATGAGGTATATCCACAATCTTAGATTATCTATGTTATGTAGGCTCATTCACTAATCAGTTTGCTCCAAAAAGTGCATATTTTTGTTCTCAGTATAGAGAAAATGTTAACATTACAGTTTGTATGCATATCACCAGAAGCTAAAACATCTCAGCTTTCAAATGAGATAAATCACAAACATGTAGGACTTATTATATTATTTACAGGTCAGTGTCATTTGGGTATGCAATGCATTTGTGCACAAGCTCTAAGAAGGTGGGAGCTGAGGGGTTTAAAGTGTTGAAGCTGTAAGTTGCATAATAACTCGATTCTGCAGATGAATTATTAAAGGACCCAATCTAATATGCTTTTGTCTATGCAAATAGTTAAGCTAAACTGAAATCCAGATGAAAAAGAGGAAAAACACAAGTGACAAGGTGGTTTCTGTAAAAGGTCATGCAGGATGTTGGTTTTTCTTAGTATATTGTGTAAATAGTTTTCTCTTGCCAGAACATACAGTATCTGAAGGTGAAAAAACCCGTTGGGACACTTCTAGGGGCAGCATATTTCCTAGTAATCTGTTTATTATGTGCAAGTACCAACAGTTCTTCATATGTTTGAAGCAATAATGGCGAATCTTCAGAGAAACGAACACAATTCTTATGTTTTTTTGGCCTTTTCTGTGGGGTTTGACTTATGCATGCATGTAGCCATAACTAGAGATATAGGTGCTTCGGGTAAAACAGCAAACTAAACAAACATGTCATTTCCCATTTTTAATAAGAAAAAGAATATTTAAGTAAAATCCACAAAATACATTGTTTCATTTAAGGTGGTTTTGTTTCTATTTCACTTTTTTCATCATAAAATAACTGCTTAACCTAAGCATTTCCTGTATTGGGATAAAAGATTTTAAAAGTGTTTGTTTGGCATGGTAATTTAACTGGTATGTAGGCGTTCAAGCCCTAACCCAGACCCAAGTTACAGTGTTAAACAGCAAGCTAAAGTTTGTTCAAATATATAGGCTTGCTCAAATATTTTTGGCCTAAGAGCAACAATGATTAACCTCAGTAAAATGTTAAACATTTAAATGAAATGTCAAACTTTGCAGGGAAGTAGTAGCCTAATGGTTCTGAGTTCAAGCCCCACTCCCACGGACTGCCACTCTTGGTCTCTGAGCAAGACCCTTAAACCCACACTGCTTCCCAGGCGCCACACAGTGGCAACCCAGTGTTCCCAAAAGGGATGGGTTAAAATGTAGAGGTGAATTTCTGCAGCGTGAGATCAATATATTATTATTATTATTGAGTGCTGTAGTTGTCATAAAAAAAGACATGAGTCAAATAGATGTCATAAGTCCCTGAAAGGGATCATTATGGCAAATAAATAATTACATCTTTGGGATGCTTTGAAAGTATGTTTTTTTCCAAATTTAATCAAAGACAACACCACCCTGCATAAGGAAATTGCAAACACAGCTGTTTACAACTTTATCAAAGCTTCTTTAAGCTGTTCGAGAATGACAGTAATTTATTTCCTGGAGTTTTACCATAGTCTGTTGATAGTGATGATATTTATTAGCTAAATCATGGGATGTCTGTAGACACACTGCCTGGCCCAAAAAAAATTTGCCACCTGGATTCAACTAAGCAAATAGGTACGAGCCTCATATTGGATAATTACTGCATGGGCGATTATCTTTCAGCTTGCAACAAGTTATTTAACCCCAACTGGTGCAATGACTTGCTTCTCATTTCCTAAACAAGCGTGTTTTGACCCTTTGACCCTTCTCAAACAACTGTTTGAGATTTGCAAACCTTTGC